GGTGCTGGGCCGACAGGTGCGGGGACAGGCCATGCCCACTGGGACCCGCTGGCCTGCCTACCGTGGGCACCGCTTCCTGCTCGGGCAGGCCACGCGAGATTAGAACCCAAGCCATATTCTCCAAGTACCTCCGACTGCCCCCAGCAGGGAAGCAGAGTCAGGTCAGGTTGTTTATTTATTCCCCCGTGTAAATACTGTACTCCCCGGGGAGTTTTACGGAAAACACGGGGACAGGAGCTTCCCCGCCTGTGTGACGGTGTGTGTGTGTGAGTGTGAGTGTGTGTGGAGGGGTTCTGTTCCGGGGGCCTTTGGAAGGGCACTGTTCTCAGCCTCGCTGGTTCCGACTGGGGCGTCTGTGATGACAGAAGCAGTTCGGGCAGGTGGGGCCGAGGGCCACGCGGGGCAGGGGACCCGTGGCCACACTCTGACCTCCAGGCGGACTGTGCAAGCTGGAGGTCACACTCAAGCATGTTTCCTTTCAGTATGTCAAAGGGCAGAGTATCGGGGTGGGGACAGCGAGGGACCCATGGGCAAAGAAGGTTCCAGAAGCAAACGTGAAAACCAGGCCAGCTGGCCCCCGCCCAGGAGTGGCGACAGCCACGTATCTTCCTCTGTTGAAGAAAAAACGGCCAAGTGTTTCAAGTAGCGTAAAGGGCGGCGTCGACTTCGCCTCCTGAGCAGCCCCAGCTACGCCTGCTGTGCCACGCCAGTCTGTCCCGTGTCCGGACTCCTTGGGAGCGGGAAGGGCCGGCCCCTCCCGCACTGCACTCCGGAGGCCTCCAGGCCAGCTTTCCTCCAGCACAGCAAGGCATGCCTCTGGCGTGGGCCCTGCCAAGCGGGCTGGGTGTAAAAGATGTCCCTTCCTGGTGCCCCAGAGCCTCTGCCCGCCCTCGCAGACCCCTTAGGGCTTGCTGGTGGCAAGGCCGGGCAGCCCTGTGGCTATGGAGCAGCGGGATGAGAGGCAGACTCGGCACTGCCCACCAAGGGCCCCTCCACCTCCCCCCTCCACTTCCCCCTCCGCCCCCAGCGCCCAAAGGAGTCCGGGGCCTCCGCAGCTGCTAGGCAGTTGGCG